ACACACACACACACACACACACACACACACACACCGCGCGGGCTGGGGGTGGGTTGGGAGGGAAGGAGGGAGGGAGACCCTCTCCCCCAAAAGCAGCACTGCAGGGGGCTTTCTTCCCCCCCCCCCCCGCGTTCCCTAAGCGTCTCAGACCAGAAAAGCCCATCGTTCCCAGCCTCGCTGGCTGGGCAGCATGGGGCTTCCTGGGGAGAGCCCTTGTCTAAGGTTCTGCAGCTTTCTCAGGCCAGGAAGCCCATCGTCCCCAGCCTGCCTCACTGGCTGGGCAGCATGGGGCTTCCCGGGCAGAGCCCTTGGGGCAGCTTCTGCAGCTGTCTCGGGCCAGGAAGCCCATCGTCCCCAGCCTCACTGGCTGGGGAGCATGGGGCTTCCCGGGGAGAGCCCTTGGTGCTAGTGCTGTCTCAGGCCGGAAAGCCCATCGTCCCCAGCCTCACTGGCTGGGGAGCATGGGGCTTCCCGGGGAGAGCCCTTGATGCTAGTGCTGTCTCAGGCCGGAAAGCCCATCGTCCCCAGCCTCACTGGCTGGGGAGCATGGGGCTTCCCGGGGAGAGCCCTTGGTGCTAGTGCTGTCTCAGACCGGAAAGCCCATCGTCCCCAGCCTCACTGGCTGGGGAGCATGGAGCTTCCCGGGGAGAGCCCTTGGTGCTAGTGATGTCTCAGACCGGAAAGCCCATCGTCCCCAGCCTCACTGGCTGGGGAGCATGGAGCTTCCTGGAGAGAGCCCTTGGTGCTAGTGCTGTCTCAGACCGGAAAGCCCATCGTCCCCAGCCTCACTGGCTGGGGAGCATGGAGCTTCCTGGAGAGAGCCCTTGATGCTAGTGATGTCTCAGACCGGAAAGCCCATCGTCCCCAGCCTCACTGGCTGGGGAGCATGGAGCTTCCTGGAGCGAGCCCTTGGATGGAGCCAGTGCTGGGAGCTTGAACTGGGACCATGACTGGGTTTTCTTTCCAAAGCAGCCTCAGAGGAGACATCTGGAGAACAGGGGGGGGCCTTTCCTGAGATGGGGTGTGCCTCTGTTTCCCCATGCGTGAATGGGGAACTTTACAGGGTGGGCTTTGTGTGACCAGCTGGTACCCAGGCTTGACACGCCGAGTCAACAATGGATGGGGGACCGTGGTGGGCAGGGGGAGGGGGCATTTCTTGGGCTCTGAAGTTGGGGGGTGGGGAGGGTCCAGCCTTGGGGGCAAGGTCTCCCCCCCCCCCGGAAGAGAGCTCAAGGACAGGGTCTGAGACCCAGCAGGGACCTCCAGATGTTGCCACACACCTGGAGAAGGCCAGCTGGAGAGGGCCGGTGTCCCCGTTGTAGCTGCTGTTTTGTAGGACGGGAAGGAGAAATTGACCTGTGTGTTTGTGCGTGTCCACAAAAGAGTGTGCAGCTCCGGGGCAGGCTGTGGGT